CTCGTTGGGAAATACAGCACTGACCCCAACAGAAGAAATTACAAATAAGGAGTTCTAAAAAACCTTTTTTTAATTGCACCTCTTCTCAATCTAATCCATCTCCTGACAGTGTCACCAAGCCAACCACCCTTACTGCCCCCAGATTTGTTTCTCAAGTCCCCCATTCTCCTCCTCCTCAAACACGAGGCCACCGCCCACGGTACCCCGGTTCAGCCTTCTCTGCACAACCTCTTACCAGACGGCCAGAAACATCAGCGTCCCTCTTCAGGTCCACACCTCGGAGTTCCCCCGCCTCTGAAAACCGCACCTGCTCCAGCCTGGAGCCCCCGGCCCCGGCCTCCATGCCCCCGGAGCCGCTCCCACAGAAACCCTCAGCGCCCTTCTCCGCCGGCCTCTCCAACCTTCCCGTGGTCCCGCAGCGCCCGGCGCTCACCCCCAACTCACGACCCCCTTTTCCACAGAGCCTCCCCCCTCTACACCTACGGCCCAGCCTTTCCACCCCGCTTCCGGCTCACCACGGGGCCTCTCGGCCGAGCCCACCCGACCCGCCAGCCCAGACCAGCCCAGCGTGGCCCTCCAGGCCCGGACACAGGCCGGGCGGCCCCTGCCGCCCCTTCTCCTCACCGTGCCGTCCCCGGGGCCCTCGTCCCGGGGCCTATCCGCTTCTTCAACGACCACGGACTCCAGCCCAGCGTCGGGGTTACCCAGCGGCTCTAGGGGCGCAGGCTGCAAAAGCCGCTCGGGGTCCGGGGGTGCCTGCTCCATGGCTGTAGTTTGGCGCGGCGGACACAGTGCGCCTGCGCCGCCGCGCCCGGCCCGGCTCGTCCCAACCCCGCCCGGCCCGGCTCGTCCCAACCCTGCCCCGCCCCACAACCAGCAGGCGCCGGGCCAGGCCCCGCCCCCTCGGCCCGCGGCTGCCCGGCTGCCGAGACCCCGAGGGCCAGAATCAGCAGAACATGCCCCAAACCCTTACGGCTTGAGAAACTCCCCCAGAGTCCTATAGCAAGCCAGCTACTGGAATCTTCAGCGGCCAAAAATTAAGAAAACTACCACAGGATAGATTATTTCTCCCCTCCCAGATGACTTAAATACAATTTGATAGAGGTCTTCTGAAGCAAGTGGTTGTTTACAACAAGGAAACTCAAACCAGATAGGTTGGAAGGAAGCGCTGTGGCAGGTCATTGACCAGGGGATTTGGGGACAAGTAGTCTTGTGGAACCTCTCAACTAATATTGTATATGTGGGTAACAGCTCACCTGTAAGGGTACTTTAAAACCTGGCCACTGACTCTCTGAAAAGGGAGGGGTTTTCTTCGGTATTCATTAGCTGTCAGACCACATCTTTGACCACATTTTTGATCTTTGTTTGAAAACTAGGGCTGCCTAAAAGTTATTAAGGATTTATGACATGTTTCTGTGTGTGTGTGTGTGTGTGTTTGTGTGTGTGTGTGTGTGTGTGATTTAGACATGGTTTGGGGGGTGTTGGTGTGGTGGTTTTGTCTCACTTTCTTCCCCAAAATCATATTAAGTCCATTTAAGTGTTTTGTTTGGGGGGATTCTTTTTTTAGTTCACAGAGGTCATACTTACTCCTCTTCCCCACTCCCTAAACAAATATCTAGAGATTCTGCTCTGAAAAGGATAAAATGGAACCCATTGGGGGAAACCAGCCAGGTTATTGTGTTTCTGCCAGAACAAAATTTCATCCAATTGTTATTATTATGTTTCCCCACCCCCAATTATGTTTTTTTATACTGAATGAAATTAGTAGTAGAAGAGCTCTGAGTACATACAAATACTCACTGTTTTTAAGGGCACTCAGGATTTGTTTTAATCAGGTATGGTAACACACGCAGACACAGAAATGACTGTCACAATATGACTACACAGCTGTAAAACGCTGTGTAAATTGTCTGCGTGGTAGATCTTTTCCCATTTTGTCACTTTCAACCTAGCTGTGCCTTTGACTATTTAAAATGGCTGTTATAGACAGTGTAAAGTGGAGGAGGGAGAGGAAGGCTGCATTTGTCAGAAGATTTAAATTACCATGAATCAGTTAAAAACATTTATGTCTTAGATGGACTCTTCTACTTGAAACTTCTGCTACCAGGTGCCCCATGCTGTGCTGACTGCCAGAGAGGAAGGCTTTGCTGTCACTTACCAGAGGCAGGGCCCTTAAAATGGGGCTCCTATTCTCCTTCAGCCAACCCGTCAACCACCCCTCAGGTAGCAGCGGTTCCCAGGGCAGCAGGCAAGGGTAGGGGCACAGCTGTGAATGCTGACACTCTGGAGCAGATATCAAAAGAGGGCAGGATGCAGGAGGGCGTGAGAAGCATCTGGGATCTTCCCTCTGCCCAGGAAGCATCCTGTCCAATACACATCCAGAAAGGTGAGCAAGAAGCAGGTAACAGATGTGAGCTGTTGTGACTGACAACCTTTTAAGTTGTTTTCTCCTTTAACTATTTTACTTTTTATTAACATCTATAGAATAAAGGGCTTGAAATAATTTTAAGTAAGTAAATTTATACTGAGTGTACTTTGCATTGTGTTTAGACTGCTTGTTTTCCCGACTTAGGGTTTTCCATGACCTCCTTCCCCTACACTCCTTAACCCCCTTCATTGGAGGCTGGCTTTTTTCTGTTCTGGCACGTCTCATCTTGTTCACTAATGCCATGTGTCTGCCTCCGCATCTAGGCTGAACTCAGTAAGAGCGAGGCAGTGCCTTACGCCTCTGTGTCCCTAGCACTCAGCATGTATGTCGCTGAATTAGTGAATGAGTAGGGGGAGGAGCAAAGCATACAAGACAAAACAGGCAAACAAATCATAACAAACCACACATTTACTTATTAAAGTCAGGCAGGCCTCCTGCCCATCCCAGCTCTCACTGTACCAGTCAGACCAAAAGAAAGCCTTTCCTCCTCCAGCCTCTGCGGGCATCTCCTCATACCTGAATTCTCCCTAAAACCACAAGGAAGTGGTAGGTGAAAATGGTTACAGTGGAATGGTGGCCAGGACGGCCTCCTCTTGCATCTCCTTCCCAATCCCAAAATGGGCCCTCCTCCCCTAGCCCCTTTCCCATGGGCTTGGTCCTGTGAGGACCTCAGCTTGGCGCCTGAGAATCATTTCCTTGAGATTGAGAGGCAGCCCAGAAAAGAGGCCAGCAGCAGGAGTCCTTGTGTCCCTCTCCACAGCCAGGCCCTCATCAGTCAGAGCTCTGCTTCCACCAGATCCTCACCTCTCCCCTGTTAGGTCAGGAAAAGCGCTGACACTGCAGTGATCTGAGTCAGCTGATTAACCCCAGAAACCACGACTTCAGCCCTGAGGGGAATGGGAGAGGAGGGTTTTGTTTTTGTTTTTTCCTCTGTAAATAACCCAAACAGGAGATCATAGGTAAGGTTTTATCTCAGAGATCCTCTAATCCAACCCCCTCATTTTTCTGATGAGGACAGAGAAGCCCAGAGAGGCACTTAAACTTGCCCAGAGTCACTATAATCAGTTAGTAGTACAAAGTGGTTGCTACAGAGCTCTAGCCCCAAACTCTGATTGAGGGGCAGAGTGTCTGACTCAGCTTCTTCTGAAGGCCAGGTGAGCCCCCTCATGGGAACAGCCATTTCCTTACCTGGAGGGGTGGAGGAAGAGCTTTTTCTCTTCCACTTGAGGAGGGATGAGGTGCTGGGGACACAGCCACAGATATCCATCAACCAGTGAATGAATGAACAAACTGGTATATTCCAAACAAGAATTACTATTCAGCAATAAAGAAGAATAAACTATTGATACACAAAATCAACATGTATAAAACAGCAAAATAGTTATGCTAATAGAATAAGCCAGACCCCCTCCTAAAAGACATACTGTGTGATTCTATTTATATAAAATTTTAGAAACCTCAAACTAATTTATGTGACACAAAGCAGATCAGTGATGTAGTGGATTGAATGGTGACCTCCAAAAATATATTTCCACACCGCAATTCCTGGAAACTGTGAATGCTACTTTACTTAGAAAAAAAGGGTATTTGCAGATGTAATTAAGGATTTTGAGACGAGAACATCATCCTGGATTATTCTGGTGGGACTTAAATCCAATGCCAAATGTCCTTATAAGAGGACACCTGGAAAGTGGTTCCCTGGAAATAGGAAAGAGGTGGAAAGAGGGGGGAGGTGGCAAGGAGAGATTACAAAAGGGTAAGAGTAAACTTCTGGGAATAATAAATATTTTCATTATCATGATTGTGATGATGTTTCATGGATGGAAACATATGTCAAAACTTATCAAATTGTATACTTTAAGTCCATTATACATTAACAAAGCTGTTAAAAAGATGAAAAGATCCATGGGTCTAAAACAAGACTCCACTTGGAATATTCTGGCTTTTTCAAAGCAGTCCACATAAGATTGATAGGTGGTACATTCTCAGGAAACTGATCATAAGATGAAACACTATCATATGAAGAATAGCTGAATAACCCCAGAATATTAAAATTAGGAGAACCGATATTCAAGTACATTAGTATGACTATGTACAAGTTAAAACATTCTCATCTTACATGAACTTATTAGAATCAAAACCAATGATATCAGTTACAGTGAGACAGATTTTGGTTCAAAGAACTTCGTAAAGTCAGTGTTTGTCCACAGATAAGATAGCTGCTGGGGGAGCTAGTTCATGGGAGACTACCCGTCTAGATATTGCATGTCTCTCTTTGACTTCTTCTGTTGCATCTTTTGTTTTTTTGTGATCTCTTATCTTCTCCAATTCCTGTTTTTTCCCCTCCTCTTATGTTTTGCTAGAGATGTACTTTAATGGCTTCCATTATATATTAATAAAGCTGTTAAAAAGATGAATTTGTAAAAACTCTTATTAAATTTACTCCCTTGTCTGCCTAAGAGATTCCTGAAGGAAAGGATTTAAAATCAATGTCCTTCTCAAATGAACAGGGCAATAACTCCACTAAGAATAAACTTCCTATTTCTCTCCATTCATGAAACAGACAAAGGCATCATTGTTCTCTAGTTTTATTATTTTTAATCTTCCCAACACATGAACTATAAGTCATTTTGAGATTTTTCAGTGCATTTCACAGCAAAAAATGAACAAGGGAATCATTAAAATGGTTGTACATAAACCAATTATTTTCTTATAATTTACAATTTTTTGAAAAAGATTATTGTTTTGCTGTTTTGATCCTATCAACCCCCTTCAATAAAACACAATTTATCAGAGCACAAAGCTTAAACTTCTTGTGATGATGCAACAGATACACCCACCTACAATGGCTGATGAGTAACAGGTCTATATTACACACACTGATTGGAAGACCACATCAGAAGAAACAGAGTAAGGCACCACTCTTGGAAAATTAAGGTAGCTTGCAGTAACAAGTGTTGAGCACCGTGAGTAGGTGCTCAATAAATACTTGAATGAATGATGAAAGCCATTATCAGCACTATTCTTTTCATTGCCAGCAATTCTTCAACCTCAATAAAATACTTATTTAAAAAAAAAAAAAAACTTTGTACCTGAATACAACTTCCTGGTATCTTTTTTCCTGATATCTTTTTATTTCATATTCTTTCTTCAGCATTTGAATTTCCTTGAAAAGAAAATAAAACCACACCATACATGCACTCAGTCACATATGTAACTTCTGAATTACTGACAAATATGAATAGTTGTTTTAAATTTTGAGTGAACGGAGGTAAGATAAACCATACCTATCCAGAGGGATAGCACATAATACTGGATATTAATCTACAAGTGGAAAAAAGGTAAGGAAAACAGTAACAGTTTTATTTTTTAATGTCTGCTATGTTCTTTAATGCCTCAGTTCTTGAGAAAGGCCAAAATCTCATCACATTGACATGAACACATTTTAAAAAACTGTCTCTCAAGTGTAATATTTAATAAAACTTGGTACTGAAAAATGTTCTGAAATTTTTCAAGTCAATGTTGTTTTCAAGTATATTAAAATGCTCAGAAGAAAAAATTCTCCATGGTTATAACTCTAATCAATTTATAAATATACTTTTTAAAAGAGAGTTCCAACAGAGGTGGATAGCGGATAAGTTCCTCAGACACAGGCACACAGTCTCTTTGAAGGAACAGAATGCCTTGTTACGACAACCTGGTTGATTTTTTTTTAACACTGATTTCAGGCACAATGGCTGAAGCCACTTCTGGGTCATCTTCTTCCTCCTCTTGGTTTGTTGTAAGAGTAGTGAATACTTCACTTATTGATAGAAAGGAAAGCACAAACTCTGAAAGAGATTTCACTTTTCACTATAAAGAAATCAGAATCACTGAGTTCTCATTGTTGTGTTTATCTGCTGCCCCCATGCAAAAAACAGGGGATTCAAAGCTTTCGGAGCAGGAACTGGATAAAAGATTAATCATCTAATATTTCAGGTGAAAGGTTTGAAGATGCTATTGCTCGCATCACATGACAGCTTGGTGAGAGGTCCATCGTGCTCCTCTGACACTTTGGTCTGCCGCAGTTCTATGGTGCCCTAATCGGTACATTCATGTTTAGTTAGTTTCAGTCTGTGCAATCAGGAAGCAGGTCACTCAGTGCAATGACTCCATTCTGGGAGGGTTAGGGTAAACCGAGAAGTTCATTTGGTCGAGTCTTAGATAGTGTGTGTCACTCTGCTGGTTGTGTTGTTGGAATTATTTTCCAAAGGGGTTTGTGATAAACCCAGCCATCTCCCTGAAACAAGTGGAAAAATAAATTAAAGAAACATTCCTCTAGTATTTTCAGAATCAGTAAACAAAACTAGGTACAATGTCTTCATTGACATGGAATTCTATCCTCACATTTAAAAATAAGAGTTGTTGTGAAGAAAAAAAAGTCTCTGTGCTTTAAAAAAATAAAAATAAAGTCTCTGTGCTTAAGATATCAAAAAATGTGTGTGGTTCAGCTAGGATTGGGTGAGAAGTTCTGGTCTGGGAAGACCTAGTTTGTGCTGCATGAACATTTCATTTTGCAGAAGTCATCTGTAGCAGTTCTGCCAATTTTGCCAAGATGCTGCAGGTTGAGCCTCATCCACAGAGTGACAGTCAGCAGGTGCAGCACAAAGAAATGCTCACCAATGGACTAGCTGTTCTGTCCATCTCAAGTCTCTGAGCACTGTTTTCTAGTTCATGCTGACTTTACCCTATTAGTTTTCCCTGGTTCCTATGAACAGAAGGATACTGAAGGGAGATAAACTTAGAGTCAGAGAGTGAACTAAAGATAGGAGACGACCAAGTGAAGCAAAAAGAGCTCCAGCAAATGCACGAAGCAGCTCAGTGGGGTGGGAGCTTGGCAGAGCTGAAGTCACAGTAGCTAAGACTGGAGTTCAGTGTTTATGGGACTAAGGAAATTTAGTCAGATTTGAACCTCTGTCTGTAACTGCTATATCACCTTCAATTTATTTACATTCAAAAATATTTTTTAATATATTTACCCTACCTTATTCCAAAAATGACTTAAGGCCAGCAATTATGTGGCTCATAGGGACAAGACTTCTCTCCTTGACCAAACTTTAAAAGTTAGACTCCTTCGTCTCTCTTCTTGTTTATGTCTCATCCTAGCCCTGCTGAGCCCAGTTTTAGCCAAAAAAATCCCGATAAACCAGTTTAATCAAGAATTCCCTCATCTTTGATCTCCAGTCAAACTCTTTTTCCACCTTTGGTATCTAATCAAGTGCCTCCCTCACCCCCGACCCTTGCCCGACACCACCAAGTTCCTCTTAGTAATTTTCCATCCACTCCCTCACCCTGTGTGTTGGCTATAGGTTCCCACTTATCCCCACATTCAGAGCTGAGTTTAATCTTTCTCCTCTACTGCAGTGGCACAGTGATTTCTCTTTAACAATAGAAATCATTAGGTTGTTTATTATGTTCAATCACCTAGTTGATAACTCGCAACACAAAAGATGTCACCTAACCACATTACAGAATGCTAGGTTTAGAAGATGTGCCATGTGAACATCTCATGTCACCGATGAAGGGACTGAGGCTCTCTCTCAGAAGTGAAATGAGCTGCCCAACTTCACCCAGGAAGGAGCAGAGTTCATTTCAGTGCACCTTCTCTATATTTACCTACATTTTATATATGAGGAAACTGATGTTAAAAGAGGTAAATAAATTATCCAAGGTAAGAGCTGGGGTTCAAATTTAGCACATCTGACTTTAATATGGTCCACTATACTATAAAAGTCTTCCTGCTTGCATTTACATACATCTTAAGAAATTTTAAATATCCACTTAAGAGGATACAACCAATAGCTCCTGATGGATGTCTATACTCACAAAAGGGAGAGAAGGGAAGATCTAACAAACGTCAATGAGAAATGGTCAGGAAAAGGTGAGTATTATTAAATGATACTACAAACACTTTTAAGTTCATCTGTATTTTCTTAGGTTATTCTACCTTCTCTTATACCAAGTGACTATTCTCAACCATCTAACCAAAGCCAACTCCTAACTGATCTGTAATTGGTTTGACAGCAATAATGAACGTACCCCACAAGTGGAAAAGCTCTTGTTACTTATAACAATATTTATGAAAACATCTACTAAGCACCCAGCACTCTGCTTAGGACCACAGAGGAGACAAAAGTCAACTTTTCAATAACATACGATTCTTCTTAGCAAAGAGCCATACATGATGACAATAGCTCTAAACTTGTTATGAACCTTGGGGTACCGGTTTCAGCTAGCTGCCATCCTCCTCAGCCTCACGTGTACTCTGCAGTGCTTTTTACAGCACATACCATGGTCCTGTCACACAGGATGTGACTTGGCTGCCCCATAGGCTTAGGCAATTAAAAAAAGACATAAATCTAACCCATCTGTTGCACTACTGTGCCATGGCACACCACTTAGGAAATCATCTTACATCTTGCCACCCAAAGGGGCCCAAATCTGAGTCAGCATCTCCAATCTGCTGTTCCATCAGGCAGTTAGTTGAGACTATCTAAGCTGAAAGAAATTCACTGTTGTTTTGGGACAATCGCCATTATCTTGCCACCATTTTCTATATCTGTCTATCCAACATTATAAAGTGTGATAAAGGGATTAAGTGGCAGGCTCTTAACAATATTTGTCAAATAAAGAGTAAGTGAGAAGTAGCAGGTTTACATATCATGTTAGCTGGTGCCTATTCTTTAAAATCTTTTAAAATTGGTTGCATTTTTTGCCCATTACAGTTTCATGTTCTCAGCCCCAAGAGGTCTTTTTTTTCTTTTTAATTTTTTAAAATTGAAATACTGTTGATTTACAAAGTTGTGTTAGTTACTGGTGTATGGCATAGTGATTCAGTTATACTTATATATATAGATATATTCTTTTTCATTATAGGTTATTACAAGATATTGAATATAGTTCCCAGTGCTATACAGTAGGACCCTGTCATTTATCTGTTTTATATTGTAGTTGTATCTGTAAATCCCAAACTTCTGATTTATCCCTCCCCATCCTAAAGTTCATTTTTAATGATGTATAGAAGTCCTCCCTTAGAAATTTTCCTCTTATAGAATCTGTTCCTGGTATATCTACTTTCTTAGTGAACTCGACATGAAAAAAATCCAAGGTTACCAGACTACAATTCTGCAGAGTAATTACAAAGATTTATCTATTCATACAAAAATGAAGAGATGTAAAGTGCTTTCCCTTGAATTCCTATCCATAAAAATAGCTTGGTATTTATATTAGATACCTGAAGATGGGAAAACTGAAAGTAATGAAACTACTACCATAAACCTTGGATTTCTGAAGGTGAGAATTCTACAAAATTCACATTCAAATTATGTTTCCAGATTCTTTCCTGATAGGCCAATATTAAAATTCAATGGGTTTCCTTACACTTGGCTATGGACAAGAAAAACTTTTCTTGGTATCAGCTCTGATCCCTTATTCACCTTACTCTGAATTCGACCACAAAGTAATAAAACCTTTAAATTTAGAAAAGACTTTATAAATCATTTAGTTTTAACTACAAAACCAGTGAATTAAACTCTCCTATATAAATTGTAGTCTCTTATGTGGGTCTAGTAATCGGGAATACATTACTAAAAAATGTACATTTATTATTCAATTTTTTTAAAATTGTTATATAATTCCTTCTTAAGTTAAGCTCAAAATTTGCTTCCTGACAAATTGGCCTAGCCTGCCTAGGCCTAGCTCAACACTGATATCTGAAAAAAACTTCTATGCAATAAGCCTATCTATATTTGAAGTAAGGTATAATGAATGGCCCCAATTTTCTGGTTTCCAGGCTAAACACTCCCACTTCATTCTTTTTTCCTTGAACATTGCAAAGTTTCTATCCTCTGTGTAGTCAATTAAATTTCTCATGTCTCCCTTAAAATGCAGCCCCTGAAAGCGAACAGAGAGTTTCAGTGTGGTACAAAAGGCAATACATTGTCAACTGCAAATTCTATTACTGTGATTAAAGATTAATGTTAGCATTTTTGTGGCCAATTTAATCCCCTAATCTATTTCATCTGAACTGCTGGTGAACTATTGTACTTCGACAAATTGTGAAAAGTTCATGAAAAAGCTCATGGTTAAGCTGGACTATCTTTAGAAATAATAATGTAGCTGGATTGTCTTCAGAAATAATGATGTATAAGTGGTAACAATTCAAGAAAGCCTGCTAAGCTAATGTAGATAATGAGTTTTAGTCTCAACACATGTAGGACATATACCTCTTTAATAAAATACTTGGTTTTCCAAGGTGTGCCTGTTTCAGTACGATGCCTTTCTTCAGTCCTCTGGCGTTCTTCCAGGGTACGTTTATGCTCTGTGGCCTTATCGATTTCGCATTCCCTCAGAGAGTCTGTCACATTTTTCCACAATCGCCTAAAATCAGAAAACCACACATTTTACAAATAGTCTTCAAAAAAGATAATTAAATAGAACTGATACCTTCAAAATTAAAGGTAATTTTAATAAATTACGTTTCCTAAATCAGATCTGTAGTTCCAAACCTATGAGTTGTAAGAAAACTGACACTATGTTGCTGATGTTAGTGTCCAAGATGCTGCTGCTTCTGTTTCTTTTTAAACTAAAAATAATTTATATTTTCCCAAGTCACATAATCAAGATTTTTATTTTTAAGAAACTTAGGAAATAACAAGCAAAAAGGAAAATAAATTTTTAAAAAGCTGAAATAAGAGACCATTTCTGCATCTGGACATAATGAAATAATGGGCACTAGATTTACCCTCCTACCTTTAATCAACCAGGAAACCAAACAAAATATAATGAAACAATGGTTTCAGATATTGAACAAAAGGCAGTGCAGGGCAGTGATCCCTGAGAGCAGAGGGGAGTCCTATGAACACTCCAACTCACTAGATGGAGAGAGTTTACAGGCACAGCACAGGGAGGGGGAAGGTCAACAATCTCCAAGTAAGACAAAACTGCCAATACAATTCTTTGGGGAAAGTACAGTCTATTCAACAAATGGTGTTGGGACAACTGGATAGCTACGTGCAAAGGATGACCTTAGACCGTCACCTCACAATGAAACTTCGAAGAAGATGTAAGAGAAAATCTTTGAGACTTTGGGTTAGGCAAGGATTTCTTAGCTACAACACCAAAACCATAATCCATTAAAAAAAAATCGATAATCTCAAATCATCAGAACAAAAACTTTTTACTAAAAAAAAACACCATTAAGAAAATGAAGAGATGAGCAACAGACTAGGAGAAAATATTTAAGAAACACATCCCCAGGGGAGGGTATAACTCAAGTGGTAGAGCACATGCTTAGCATGCACAAGATTCTGGGTTCAATCCCCAGTACCTCTTCTAAAAATAAATTAAACCTAATTACCGCCTGATCAAATAAAAAATAATGAAATAATACAATAATAAATAAATAAAATATTTTAAAAAAGAAACACATACCCAATAAAGGTTTTGTGTCCAGAATTTACAAAGAACTCCTATAACACAATAAGACAACAAACAATTCAACAGAAAAATGGGCAAAAGTTATAAGCACATATTTTACCAAAGAAGATATACAAATGGCTAATTAGCACATAAAAACATGCTCAACATCATTAGCCATTAGGGAAATGCAAATTAAAATTACAATGAGGTACTATTCACACCAGCTAAAATGGGTATATTAACTAAGACAGGCCCAATGTTGATGAAGATGTGGAGAACTGAAACCCTCACATGTTCCTGGCAGGAATGTAAAATGGTGCAGCCATTGTGAAATATAGCTTGGTAGCTTCTTGAAAAGTTACACATAAAACTACCACGCATACCAGCAATTCCATTCCTAGGTACTTTTACCCAAGAGAAATGAAAACACGTCCACTCAAAGATTTGCATGAGAATGTTCATAGCAGTATTCATCATCATCAGTCCAAACCTGGAAATGTCTATTAGTTGGTGAAAGGACAGACAAAATGTGGTATCACACAACAAAATACCATTCAGTAACAAAAAGGAATGAACTACTGATACATGTTATAGCATGAATGAACTTCGAAAACATGCTAAGTGAAAAAATTCAGGCACAAGAGATCACATACTGTATGATTCCATTTGCTGAAATGTCCAAAGTAAATTTACAAAGATGGAAACTAGGCTCCCTGGGACTGGGGGTAGGAATGGGGATTAACTGTAAATAGGCAGGAAGGATCTTATGGGAGGATGGGAAGATTTTAAAATGGAATAATGGTAATAACTGCACCACTAAGGAAAGTTACTAAAAATCACTGAATTGTATACTTGAAACAGGCGAAGGTTGTATTAGTCTGACTTTCTAATCAGCAATATCAGAATGCCTATTTGCTAATACTTTTTCCCAAAAGAGATACTATTTTAAAAACTAGTCTTATTAATTTGTATTTCTTTGGATTTTAATTATACTGAACAATTTTCATTTTCTATGGGTGAGTTTTTTTCTTTGGGAACTACCTCTTTACGTCTGTCCATTATTTTCACTGGGCTATCCTTGTTAATAATCTGTAAGAGTTTTTATAGTAAGAATAGTAATTTTTTGCCGATTAAATGTTAGTATTTTTGCCCAGTTTACAAATGCATGATTTTTACTAAAATGTGACCAAGTATCATACAATTTCATAGCTGGTAAGGGGTTTAAGAGCATCAGATCAAACCAACACTTTCAATTTACAAATAAGGAAGCTGATGCAAAGTGGTGAAGTCACTTGCCCAGGATGAGAAGTTAGTGAAGACTCTGGTTAAGATAAAAGGTTTTTAACTCTTTCCTGGATGGATGTGAGGATGATATACCTGGATTCAAATGGGTCCTGCTTCTCCAGAGGTCTTACTCTTTTCTTCGTCACTGCCAATTTAGTCAAGTCCACATACTTTGTCTCCCCATTGCTGTAAGTGAACTCAAGAACGCTATTCCATTCCCCTTGTACTCTGCATACAACAGTGTTGGTGATGTTGTGCTTTACTTCACCTGTAACCCTAGAAGCAGGCGGGAAAAAAGAAAAAGATATGCTCTAATAAATGATATTGCACTTGTTTGTTGGGGATTCTGAAACCTAAGAATGTACGACATGAATTCTGTTTAAATTACACAGCTCACTTCAATTTGTCAGTGCCAAAGTCAGACTCCTTGTGAATCCATAATAGCTTCCTAGACAATTTTTTCAAATAATATCAATTTAATTTTAGAAAGAATATTGGGAATCAAATTAGAGACTTAAGTTACTATAAATGATCACAAAGTGTGATAATTAAATTGCTACAAACAAAACTAATATAACATTAAAACTAAGCAGGAATATGAAAAATATTAACATTTCTTTTTTATTAGTCTAAAAATGTTACAGTATAATCTATTCAACTTTTTTTTTTAAACTAGTCCTGTTAATTTAAAAGTTTAGAGTCCCTATATTTGAAATTCTGGATATATAAATTCTTTATAAAACCACATAAGCTTAATTTTAAATTAAATATAGAAACCACACAAATCAAAGAGGTAGAAAAATATAAAAGATACATTAAAATTTTTAAAATTCTCTTGACAAAACAGAAAAATAAAAAGAGTACTGGTATATAAAAATTACTGCTGGCAACACAAAACCCTGAGAGAACTCAAAACACTACTGTTGTTGAAAGTTTAATGAATTATCTGGTTGTTTCATCAACAGACAGACAGGAGGCAGCTCAAATGGAAGTTGGAATAGAAACAGGTCTATTATTTTTAAAGAAGAATTTTATGTTCACTGTAGGACACAAACAACAGGGTCAGATTAGATAGAGGTTCAGTGTGCCAGGGATTATAGTTTACCTGGATTCAAAAGGGAATCCAAAGGACCAAAGCCCAGGTTCAGGTGATAGCTCAGGAACCCTAAGTAGCATTTGTCAATTATAAGGCAAGGGCCTGGGAACCAGAAGGACATAGCTGAATTTAGGGAGTCCATAGTTTTTAATCCAGAGAAGTGAATGCTCTACAAATTCAGAGCTCAAGGCAGAAGTGTAGGAGCCAATAAGCAAATGAACCAGTTCTTAGAGACTAAGATGTACAAGGATTTGGAATCCAAGAGCAGACCAAACATCCAAAATAAAGTTAGGCATAACTGTAGCTCATTGGACACAAAGAACACCATGACTACAAATCTGCTTGATTACAGCAGGGGTGGGAACTCTGGGTTGTACCTCAAAGCACCTGAACTTAATAACTACATTGCTAAGGGTTTTTGCCTGACTGAATGTTTGTGACATCCATGTTTCCTCTCTAATCCCACTTGCCAACATTGTTTCCTTTCCTGAAATCTTATCTCTAACCAAACAGGATATGAAGATATGACAGTGAACACTTAATCTCTTCCCTCTTCCAACTGCCCAGAACTATATTCTGCAACCTGAGAAACAATAATCCACTTCTCACTTGATCTCTCTTTTACTGCCACAATCTCTCAAGTTATCATTATCTCCTTCACAAGACTTTCCAGTTAAAAAATAACAAGCCCTAAGGTCCCTGTTCATGCATGCTGGGTTACCCCGGGTCCTGGCTGCTTAGAGCAGCCACACAGCAAGAGCATGGTGATGAGAACTGAAGAAAGAACAAGAACTTAACATGCTTAAGTTGCCATTCTACTCATCTCTAAAGTGAGGATAATTGATAACCAATAAGACATTTACTCTCTTACTTTCTAAAAACTTGACATCAATTTGGTTTTTTAGATTGTCTAGACCCTGTCTCTATAGCTATCTGAAATACTAGAAAATCATTGGCTATATTAACTTGGCTTCATATACAAAGCTTTTATTTAAAGATTGAAAGTTAAGACTTTAGCTTTGGGTTTTATTGATGTATATATAAGAAATACAACATGAAGGATAATTACATTTTATGCAGAACTACTGAAAAAGACATTGTCTATTGTATCATTTGGTGCCACTGTATAAGGATACTTGCAACAAATCTCTTCAAAATTTAATACCAGGAAAATAGTCTCTCCTGAAAAAGTGATAGGCTTCCTTTATCTGACAATGAGAAGAATGCTCAGTATCATGTTTCTTTTTTTACTTTAGCAAAAGAGTCAGAATCAAATTTTATTTTGAGGTACAGTATTTACCTAATCCCAGCTTCACAGTATTATTGTCCTTTTCCATTACTGTGGCTGTTATAATAACAGACTTTACTGTCTATTATACATGAATTTTTCCTAAAAGCCTTAGAAATGCTTTCCAAAGATAGGGCCCTAGATTCTAATACTAGACTAAAAGCTTCTTGAAGGCAGAGATAAGAATGCAGAAAAGTATGTTACTTAGTAGTTAGTAAACATAATCTTAATGACATTATACCACTACATATGTATAAACAATCATTATCCTAAAGTGAGGGTGGAAAATGGGATCAGGAGATGGACAAGGGCATGAGGAATAATTAAGTAGGACTGCATGGCTCCATCAGGGATAGTTGTGGAAAATGAGGGAGCAAGGAAAGACAAGTGGAAGATAATATATTTATGCCAAATGCAGACGGCAGATAATGTGTTGCTGGATTGCAGATAGCAGTAAAAAACTAGGCTATGTCTGAGGAGGGAGGCATGGCCACTAATAAAGGCATGAAAGAAGGCCTTAGTTAAAATATTCTACAAAATCAAAGAAGAAAAGATGATAAAATAGAGAAGCCTGTTTCTAATATGAATCTTTTAAATGAGCTATTAGGTGAAACTACTGGTCTTAAGGGAAATCAGAATGGAAAAAAATGAGGAAACTGGAGTCAACCAAAAGTACACTTCCAAATAACAAGACGATCCAATGCTTGTGGCCTTATAGATAGGTAAAAAGTATGAAGGGAGAAAAGAAGCCAATTTAAGTAAGAAATTCAAAGACATAAGATGGCAAATACAATGACTGATCATTAACAATTCAAGGATATCTATCTGAAATTTAAGGAGTCTTAAAAAAAAGTCAAAATATGAAAACCAGGTATCAAAAGCCAGTAAGGCTTCTGGAATGCTTGCTTTTGGATGCTCCTTCCCTCTTAGGAAGCCAGTTGTCAGATGGGAGAAGCTCCAGTCATGTGGGAAGGTGCATGTAGTCCTTCTGAATTACAGCACCGGCTGAGCTCCTGGTCAGCAGGCAAATCTACGCCTCCCATGTGCGAGCTGCCTTGGGTATCCAGCTGGCTCAAGCCCTTAGATGACTGATACCCCAAACAAGGTCTAACCACAACCACAAGATGCCGTGTGAGAATCACCTGGCTGAGACAAGTCAATCCACAGAACTGTAAAAGTAATAATAAATTGCTGTTTTAAGCACTAAGTTTTAGAGAGGTTTATTCCCAACAGGAGATAACCAGGACTCATTCAAAGTTATCTTAGATGCCCCCTCTATTTCAGGCTGGTTACTTCTTAAAGTCTGTCAATTCTGAATGCCTAACTGATCTCCCAACTTCTAATATCCCCTCACTCCTCTGCCCCCAATCTAATCTTCACCTGCCATAAGACTGAACTTTTTTAAAATACAGATTTAAAATCTATCACCTCCAGATACAATACCACTCATGTTATATTCCTGTAAATACTGTACAGCTTGAATCTAAAACAAACAAAAAATAAATGCAAATTGAGATGCATTCTATAAAACTGGCCTGTATTCTTCAAAAATGTCAATGTCATAAATGACAAAGAAAGGCTGAAGAAATACTGCGGATTATAGGAGACTAAAGGGATATAACAATAAAATGAAATGCAAGATGCTAGGTCAGGAGAAAAACATTGCTAATTAGTGGGCTAATTGACAAAAATTCAATATGAATTATATATTAGATAATAGTATTACACCAATGCTACACTTCCTGAATTTGACAACTATTCTGTGATTATGTGAGAGAATTCCTTGTTCTTGGGAAATTCTGACTAGAGTATTTTGGGGTAAAGTGTCATGACGTCTTTAACTGTCAAATGTTTCAGGAATAACAGTAACAACAATGACAATAAAGTATGTGTGTATAGATAGAAATATAGATTTTGATAAAACTAATGTAGCAATATGTTACCAACTGGTAAATCTACGCAAAAGAGACATGAGAGTTTTTACAACTCTTCTGTGGGTTTGAAATGATTGCAAAAGAAAAGATGAAAATAGAAAAAGAAAATCAAAAGAAATAAAATATATCATCAAATGTCTGAAAGCTTAATTGGCTCCCCATTGCCTTCAGAATAGAGATCAAATTCGTCAACAAAAAAATGTCACTAAACATAATATGATGGGAATGTTAAGCCTGTCATGGAAGGACACCTGAACCTGCCCTATCCTTTCAAGTCCCTCCAACTCTTTTTTTTTTTTTGTAGATTTCTTTTTTCCCAAATACGTATATATGTCAGACATATCCTTTGTAATAATGCTTAGAATTTCAGTGAGTTACAGGTTTTTCTATGAACTGACATTTAAGTTCTTCCAAAATTTTTATTACTATTAAAAAGAATGCCAGGAACAGGATTGTTTATACAAGGAGACTGACAAATAGTGCTATTTCAGGTGTCATGAGCTGCTTGCTGCTTAACACTCTCAAGCCTAGACTGGAAGATGACTCAGTAGGTACCATTAGAGACTGTGGGAAACTGCAGATGAGCAGTTAGAAGGCATGACAGTTGTGAACTCCCCCCCTCCAACTCTTAAAAAAGATTCTATACCAGAAAAATTGTGTATATAAAGTAGTTACATAAATGAAAACATTTTTATATAGAAGGGCTGTGAAAACTACATAGGGAGAAGAAAGGCACCATAGAAATGGCCACCTCCCCCAAGTGGCCAACCTGCATCCTAATCCCGCAGATCTGCACTCTGGAGCTGCCCTTGGAGATCCAGCCAGCGGTGGGCCTTGGGCTCCTCAGCACATCTCCATCTTGCTTGCTTACTGCTCTGCCTGCCCCCAGCAGGGAACACAGAGTGAGACAGACAACAGCTGAGTTCTTAACAGTGCAGACCCAGGAAGTCCAAGGATGTGCCTATGGGCTTCATCAGGAAGAATGGGTACTGCTGACCATTAGAGAGACTCAAACAGAACTGTGACACTGAAGGCTGCGGCAACCTAGTCTCTATGAGGCATGAACTCTGGAAACCAGATATGATCTCCCTATTGGGGCAAAGAAGGGCTGTTAAGGGAAGAAAGGATATTTCCAAGGCATAAGTCTAGGAAATAAAGAGAGACTTAAAGACTAAGAGAAAACTTCTATGCAGGATATTTGCAGCAACTATCTAAATGCCATGGCAATGATAAGATATCAGGGGTGAATTCTGATTTTCCACATTAAGGTAGTCCTGGCAATATGATAAATTATAGCTTATATGTATTATTAGAATTCAAGGCACTGGTTCAGGACAAAAATTTGGATATTTTGTATCTAGTAAAAAATTTCAATCAGCTCAAAACTACTCTGTTTTTATAAAGGGACATTTGAAACATAATAAAGACTTACAAATTAATCAGAGGGGCAGGGTATAGCTCAGTGGTAGAGTGCTTGCTTAGCACGCACAGCATGCAGGAGGTCCTGGGTTCAGTCCCCAGTACCTCCTCTAAAAATAAATAAATAAGCCTAATCACCTACCCACCCCCCAAAAAAACCACACAAAATAAATTTTAAAAATTAATCAGAATAGCTATTATATAGTTGAGCTGTTACAAAAGAAGAAAATTCTGAACATGCAATCAGATAACATTGTGTGTACTAGATACGGAATAGGTTTCAACTGAAGACTATCAGAATTCATATATACAAATACAAATGAATGCATGTGGGCAAACCTTTAACAGCTTCTTATTTCCTTCTCAGTAGTGGAGATTTAATATTAGAAAGGAACTCTCTGAATCGTAATGAACATGGGAAAGTTTCCACTCATGGCTCAACATTAGCTCAGCGTGTGACAAGACTCATATGGATAGAATAAATACAGGAAAGCCTTAAAAAGGATTTTATCTCTTAGTCAACCCAAGGAAGTTCACAGAGGAGAGAAATCTTATAGTGAAAAATGATGATTTCAAAAAAAGCCCACAGCCATTATTTGCTCATTATAAACATGGGAGAACTCACACTGGAGAAAAACCTTTATTAATCATTCATATCTTAAAAGGCACAAGAGACAAAGTAGAGGAAAACTGTATGAAGACAAACATTGTGAAGTAACTCTCCATAACCTTTCACTCCTTAAACAACATAAAAGAATCCATACCAGAAAAACCTCTATGAATGCTATCAATATGGGGAAGTCTTTAGTCACTACTTGACTTGGATAACACAAGAGAATTCACACTGGAGAAGGACCCTACAAATGTAGTAATTGTGAACAAGATTTCAGCCAGAGCTCTACCTTAACTGATGTCAGAAAACTTCTAGAGGAAAATACTATTTTTGTAATCAATGTGGACGAGCCTTAAGCTGGAGCTCTGGCCTTAGTGTACAGAAGACAATTCATACTGGGAAGAAATCCTATACACATAATGAATGGGAGCAAGTGCTTCACAGGAGAAAAACTCTTGACGAGCACCAGAGAATTCACAGAGCAGATACAAGTGGAATTCTCAATGTAGTAAACATGCAGAGAGCACACAATAGTTGTTTTCAAACCTCTGAAGGGTTATCCTAGAGGAGAAAGGGGGTATCAATTGTATGAAAATCCAAAAATATCAAACTCAAGGGTTCATATCGAAGAAGTTAACCAGTAGCAGATCCAAAGATCACTAAGAATAGCTACAATTTGATAAGGTGGACTAGACTATATCTTCAAGAAGAAAGAAACTCACACTTAACTATATTTCCCAAGAAAAATATGCAGTATTTACAGATCACATACTACTTACACGGCACTGCATAGATGTAATGGAAGGCCCAAAACAGTACAGATCTGTCAAAAGCTTACAGCGACATTGAGGGAAATAAGACAAACAATCAAAATAATAAGTCTGTGTATATTAAAAATGCTTTTATAGATGAGTTCTGTAGGAGTCAAGTAACACACATACACGTTTACATTCGCACGCGCGCGCATGCACACACACACACACACACACAGATACTCAAAGAGTGAAGTTTTAGGGACCAGAAATAATACAGTCAATTAATCTACTACAACAGAGGCAAGAATATACAATGGAGAAAAGACAGTCTCTTCACCAAGTGGTGTGGGGAAAACTGGACAGCCACATGTCAGTGAGATTAGAACATTCTCTCACACCATATACAAAAATAAACTCAAAATGGTTAAAGACTTATATGTAAGATTTAAAACCATACAACTCCTGGAAGAGAACATAGAAGAAACACTCTTTGACATAAATCACTGTAATATTTTATTGGGTAAGTCTCTTAAGCAAAAGAAATAAAAGTAAAAATAAATGAATGGGACTTAATTAAATTTAACAGCTTTTGCACAGCAAAGGAAATCATCAACCAAATGAAAAGACAATCTACAGAATGTGAGAAAATATTTGCAAATGATATGACCAACAAGTGGTTAATATCTGGAATATACAAATAGCTCGTATAATCCAATATAAGAAAAACAAACCATCCAATCAAAAAATGGGCAAAAGATCTGAATGGACAGTTTTCCAAAGAAGACATACAGATGGCTAACAGGCACATGAAAACATGCTCAACATCACCAACCATTAGAATAGTGCAAATCAAAACCACAATGATCACTATCTTGTAGTAACCTATAATGAAAAAGAACATAAAAACGAATATACGTATGTATATGTATGATTGAAACATTATGCTGTACACTAGAAATTGACATCACACTGTAAACTGACTATACTTCAATTTAAACAAAACAAAAAACAATAATAACAACAAAAACCTACAATGAGATGTCACTTCACACTTGTCAGAATGGCTATCATCAAAAAGTCTACAAATAAATGTTTGCGAGGATGTGGAGAAAAGGCAACATTTGTACACTGTTGGTGGGAATGTAAACTGGTACAGCCACTATGAAAAATAGTATGGAGCTTCCTCAGAAAACTAAAAATAGAACTACCATATGATCTAGCAACTCCATTCCTGGGTATATACCCAGAAAAAATGAAAACACTAATTCAAAAAGATACACGCACTCCAATATTCACAGCAGAACTACTTACAATAGTCAAGAGATGGAAGCAACCTAAATGTCCATCAACAGATGATCTGATTAAGAAGATGTGTTATATATAGATAAGCAACAAAAATATACTGTATAGCACAGGGAATTATAGCTATTACCTTGTAATAACCTATAATGGAACATACTCTGCAAAAATACTGAATCACTGTGCCACACACCTGAAACACAATATTGTAAATCAACTACTCCTCAATTCAGAAAAAAAGAAATTCATCAGTATCATTAACAATAAAAAGTGCTGGATTTGGAAAATTTATCACTGTAGTTGTTTTCCCCTAAGCATTTTACTCAATTATGACTTTAAAGTAATGCTTTTACCAATGCAGGAATGTTACGGGGATATAGATTTCAACTCTAATTTCATATAAATAAGGGGAATCTGGAAATGGAAAGGGTTGCCTCACGCATTGTGAGTTCTGTATTAATAGTGTACCAACACATTGAACAAATCAGTTATCAGGCATGTTGCACAGGGATTTATGCACCTAGCAAATGTTAGACTTGTAAAGTGCCTTCTAATGATAAAGTTTGAATCCTGTGATCAGTATGGCGAAAAGAGTAGGTAGACACACAGATAACAAAGTGTGAACCATAATAACACCTCCTCTTAGGGTAAAAGATGACTGACAATCTCTAGTGGTTCTGTTTGGGTGATTAGTTTTATTTTATTTTGTTTTGTTTTGTTTTGTTTTTAATTCTCTGCTTCAGTGTCTCGAAATCTGTATTTTTAAATGCCCATTCAATGCCTTGGAGCCAATAAATCTTTCTTTCCACTTCTAAGATTACTGAGTACCAGTTGTCTGGTGAAGAAGTAAAATAGCTATTGCAATTAGAAGTCTCATACATGACTGAAGGCAGCGCATTTTGGTATAAACATGTAAGAAAACTGTTTGGCAATAATAAAGTTAAATTCTCATTCCCTACAACCTAGCAATTCCACCCTTAGGTATCTACCCAACAGAAATTTATACAGATAGTCACCAATGTTCTAGCAGCACTATTTGAAATGGCTCCAAATCAACTTGTATACTTTTGTGTGTATGTTATTCTTCAATGAAAACTTTGTAGGAAAAGAAAACTTATCCCTACTTCAGGACAGACAGAATAGACATCAAAGGCTTAAGGAAAGAGCCAGTATCACTTTGAGGATCCTATTAGAAAACATTTCTTCATGTAGGTGGGTGATCTGGACAAGTGCTGAAGAGACCAACAAGCCACTAAAGGGGTATTATAATAACTGGCCAGTTCCTAGATGGAATTAGCACAAGGCCATCATCCAATATTGGTGCCTAAACACACTGGCCCCCATCATTGTGCTTCCTGAACTATTTCTTACAATTAGCTGTATTTTCACCCTAACCTGTAGCAACACTACCTCCCCTGAGGTCTGGATCCATGTCTGTATTCCTTTAAAGGCAGAAATTGGGCCAGAAACCACATATTCATTTATTGTAAGTTCTAGTTTACAAGAGTAGATAGATGTCACTATTTTTAAAACCAGATCATGATTTCCAGAATGCCTTCAAAGATCAAATACGTTAAACAAAAAGTAAACATGAGTAAAAATCCAACCCCCTTTCACATAAAACTAAGCAGAAAAAGGGTAAGGAGTTACAATATAAGATCAAACTGATAGAATTTAAGAACCAGGTATCAAAATATTCTTACCGGTGCAGTTTGCCACCATAAAAAGGCTTAGTATGAAAAGTGATGCTGGCTGAATACCCAGTTTTTGCACAGTTGACACTGACTTTGCCACCTAGTTCTACCCAAGGAACAGTTAAAATTGACCGGGCATATGCACAAGGTAGAGAAAATGTATACTCTTCTCCATGCTCCAGTAGACTGAGGATACCTGAATGTGAAAACATGAAAGTGGTTAACATTTTTAAAAAAGAGAGAGAGAGACAGCTATGAAAAATCTATATTAGGTTTTCTCCTGCCTGGTAAATAAACATCATAATTTTGCTTAAATTTTATTTTGGTTTTGGATGAAATTGGTTTCAAGGTTACTTTCATTATGATCTTATTATCCCTTTGGAGATCATGGGACCAGAAAATGTTACAGAGGAAGCAGTTTAAGAGTTCCCTCTTTGGCATGTCAAAATGACACAGAAGACAACGTGAAAAAGCTTCCAGTGGCCAATTATCAGAAGTAAACAAATAATGACAGTATTGGATTATAACACAGAATAAAATCAATGTCCATGAGTGCATACTGATACAAATAACTGAATAAATAAATAAATATGCTAAATGAAAAAAAAAAAAAGAGTTCCCTCTAATGCTCCTAAAAATAAAATAAAACCTTGAGATAGAATTTAGGTCCATGTTATACTGTATTATCATAAGACCTGATCATTAGTTAGTACTAATAACTTTTTAAGCAGTTTTTGGAATAACTAAATATCTAATTTATAGAGTCATAGACCTAATCTCAAATGGTTTGATGGGGGAGAAGGGGGAAGTGCTCTTCATTCTATTTTATGCATATTAAAATATAAACCAAAGGCATAATAATTTTGCTTGCCACACTCTGAAATATGTAAGGTGAAGCTACGAGAGAGAAGTGGTAGTTTTCAAACAAATACTATTCTAATGGGGCTTGTTCCATAAACAACATGTAAAAAAGGGAATTACATTAATGAATAATCAATCTATTCTAGATAATTAAGGGACACTAAGGAGACTGAGCTACATTACTAACCTAAACTCATTACCTAGTTTACCATAAAAACAAATACTGAACTGGATACGTGCTACTAGTCTGGATACTTGTGGTATCTCTCTCTTAACGGATGCTTATTAAGAATTATGCTGGGGTCTTTTTGGGTGGGGGCTAAATTTTAGTTTTGTAACACTTATGAAGCCAGTGTATGATAAACAATTTAATAGAATAAACATGATTTCACATATGCTCCTAGTAAACACACACTTTTTTCCTTTATAAAATAGCTTTCTTAATTATGAAATACTTCAGACAGAAACTAGAGGGCAAAACATCTGTGCATTTAAGATCTAGATTTAACAAATGTTAATGTTTGCCTTGTTGACATCAGATATTTTTTAAAAAACAGATACAGTTAAAGCCCCTTTTTGTGTTTCCCTGCACTCATTCTCCCAACTCTCCCTTGATCCATAGAACTGGCACTCTCAAGTTGGTAAGTATCTTTCTCATTCAGACTTCTGGTTCTTAGGAAGTTTCTATGTCATCATAAAAAAGACATTTTTGTTCGATGTACTTGGAACTTTGTATAAATGGTATTAACTGCACTTATCATTTTGCAGCTTGATTTTGTCCCTCAACACTGCTCTTGAAATTTATTCATGAGGCTATATATGGCTTTTGAAGAACAATGTTCTTAATATTCTCAAATAAGGGCAAAAATTATGATAAATATTTTAATATAGTCAATTTTTAGGATAAACAAATGGACAAACTGAGATTCTAAAGCAGTCTACTTTGCATAAAGCAACACCAACTATTTTTTGTACTGTCTTTAACAGTTTTCACAAAGGGCAACAATAAATCAAGAATTACTGAGCCCTTTGAAAAGGAAAATGGTTCTGGCACTAATATGCTTATATATAATGGGAGTTGTCAGAATACCTACAGATAACATACTTGGTTATATTTCAAGTATTTAATAATAACTGTTGATTAATTCTAAGTTGGAAAGAATATCATGTAATTTTCTAAAAACATGTGACCTTATAAACTGGATTTATGATCTTTAATTTCTAAGAATATATTTAACATATATTTAACTTACACTATGGAATTTAAGATCTAAGAAATATAGAACCAGTTCCTAATGAATGGGAAAAAAAGACTAGTTAGGATAACTGAAATTCAAAGAACTCTAAAATCCCATTTATCTAATACTTAAACAGAATTTTCCCCCATAAAAACATGGCTGCTAACAGAAGCAAAGTAAAGTGTCAGAAGTTGCATTCCCTGATTTAATTTCTGTTGAGGGTGCCAATAGCAGTTTAATTTTTAAAAGGCAAACCCATGAGTACATAATTAACACTTAAATAATCAAATTAACTATCATATACCTCTTTCACAACTATGGTTAAGATATAAATGCTTTCCCTCATTTCTTGAGGTATTTCCTTTCTTCTTTTTATAATTAATTTTTTGAAGGGTAATTAGGTTTGTTTGTTTGTTTGTTTGTTTATTTAATGGAGGTACTGGGGATTGAACCCAGGACCTTGTGCCTGCTAAGCACACACTCCACCACTGAGCTATAACACCCACAAAGTATTTCCTTTCTTGGATTGGGAGAAGCTACCATTACCAGATACTTTCCGTTTCATGAACTGATGATAAGAGTAACTGTCCTCGGTGAGTGTGTCAAAGAATGAGGGTCTAAATCTGACAATGCCTTAATTTTTTCTCTTTTTTCTTCTTTCCTTTTTTCTTTCTTTTTTCTTTCTTTCTTTCTTTCTTTCTTTCTTTCTTTTCTTTCTTTCTTTTCTTCCTTTCTTCCTTACTTCCCTCCCTCACTTCCTTCCTTCTTTCCTTCCTCCTTCCTTCCTCCCTTTCTTTCTATATGCTTTAACTTTTATGATCCTGAACATATCCTATCACCTCTGGACTTCAGGTTCTTCATCTCTAAAACTCGTAAACTGATTTCGAAGAGCCTACAGCTAATTTTATAGAGCTTATAACTGGAGGTAGCAAACTTTTATTAATAAAATATTTTCTAGCGTTACAAAAGTTTTAATTAGTTTGAAACATTATCTGGATATTGGTAAGACATATTGCAACAGATGTTAAAAATGAAGAAAGCTGAAAAGGGGGCTAAAATATTTTCTTCACAGCTAAAATAATACAATATCAAAATGTTAGTCACAGACTTAATTACACCATGCTTACACTGTAAGTTTATGTTAAGAACAAATTATTCTATGCACAAGAGTGTTCCTTTAACATTAAAACGGCAGTTTTTTTCTGCCATTATATTTTCATTAACTCTGCAATGATTTCTGTAGAGATTTTTTGTTGTTGTTGTTAGTTTTTTTGTATTTTTAGCCAAAAAACACTGTATTTCCTTACATTGTTTTTCATAATCACTTGCTGAAGTAGAATGAAAAGTTTGACAATATATTTTAAAATATTCTATGAATATCTCCTATGAAATACAAGATGTAGATATAACTTTACCTAGAAGATATTTCTTGAGTACTTTTTATAACTTTTATAATAGTTTTATAATAATTTTCCAAATTTTCTACAATAAAAATAATTCACATTTAAAACCAGAAAAAATAATGTAAAAAAAATTTATTTGTTGATAGATATGCCCCTCCCCTTCCACCAGCATTCTGGAACATACTAGGAACTGGGAAAAAAAAGTAGTACATATAACAGTTCAAATTTATAATTAATATTTATATTTAAGATTATAGTTTGATATTAAAAATTGGAAAGTAATTTTTCTACTTACCTTCTCCAACCATCGTCACGCCTATCGACATGCCTAAGAATTTACTCTTAGTCCACACGTGTGCATTTACACACATCTTCCTTTCTGCACATTCTGCATAAAATCCGGAGACTGGAGGATGATGGGAAACCTGCTCAGCAACAAATCTGACTGTATAACAGTCTGATCCAACCTGGCTCAAAGCCTCCTCTGATGGAGGAGCATGATTTGCAACAGCCTGGGTGGAAGAGCTGCTAATACCACTGGATGCTACCTCGCTTTTTGGCATCCTCCAGGAACAGTGAAATGTTTCTCCAATGATAGGATTGTACGGTTTCTTAGCAATGGCTCCCTTACGGCCTTCATGAAATGAGGTAAGGTAGTACTCAACAAAACGAATCATTCTGTCCTCAGCTGTAGCTCCATTGGTGATGGCTACAAATAGGTCTGGATGAGACATAAAGTCTGCATACATTTCCAGCAAGGAACGCTTCTCTAGGATAAATGTAGGAAGCACCACCTAAAACAACAACAACAGTAACAAGTCAACCAAACAGGGCAATACAAAACAATTATTAATATCTTCAGAGAATTGAGAAGATATTATACATTAAACAAGAAAGTTTTTTAAAAAGAAAATTCAGAAATATTTAAAACATGGTAGCCAAAACTAAAACTTAAGAGAAGGGTTAGAGGATAAAGGTGAGGGCCTTCCTGGTCTGGTCCTCTATTCTTCCGTGAGATTTCTGTTTCCAAGTCTGTTTCTTTAGTTTGGTCTTTCTATTTCTAATGAAACGTCTTCTCAGAGATCTGGTATATCTGTAGACAACTATTCTTATCTCTGAAAACATTTCCTTCTAGATGGGCATTAGAGTCACAAAATAAAAGTGCTTTGTCTCATTAAAAAAATAAGGAAATGAAAGCCTTTTCAAATGGTTAAGATTAAATCCCAATTCAGAACTTCAACAGGGTCAGGTAAAAGGCAAAAAAAATCCTCAAATTCTTAGATTGGATAAAAGTATCAAAAGGGAAATGGTGGTAAAGTTTAAAGTAAAAGTTAGCCAGGCTTTTCTTTTCTCCCTTTCCTACTTTAAAAATAAATTGTGGATGACTGATTGAGATAGGAGATATGAGAAAAGGCAATACATGCCACTCCTTGAGAATAGACTAAAGAGATCATTGACCAAAGCAAAACTGTAATTTGTATTTAATTTTAAGCACAAGAACTATTTCTAAGAAGAGAGTTTTTGATACTTAAAGTCAGCTAAGTATAACAAAGATTAAACATTTTACTTAAAGCAGAAAATGGAGAGGTACTGCAAACTGATTCAACTCTTTGAGAAAACAATCTGGCAATATCTTTCAAAAGCTTGAAGATGTTCATATCCATTTAGCCTAGTAACTATTCTTCCAGGAATCCAGTCTTAGAAAATAATACAAATGAAAGAAAAGAAATATGCAAATAAAGTTAAAACAGTGTATGTTTTTAACTGTGGTTCTAGTTAACTTAAATACGGAAATGTCTCTTAATGGACTATTATAGTTATTTAAAAAGATGATTATGAAGATGATACAAGTAATGCAAAAGACACTGATGTTTCAGTTTCAGATGGTATACTGAACCCATACATCTTAATTTCACTTTCTATTGAAATTCTATTAAAATTTTATTAAATAAATATAAAGGCTAACCTAGAGATATCAGGCAAGTAGACAAAAAGCAACAAAATTTTGGGAGTTAACTAGAAAGCTGACTGCTTAAGCAGTATTTTACTATGGATTCCTGAGCGGTTCAAGAACTGTCAGTATCAGGTACCTCTGGATGGGGGGGGGGGGGTGTTCAGAATGCTAAAATAAAGATGACTGAATGAAATCTGTGTGCAAAGCAATTGATCCTTAAATCCCATTCCCATCTCCATACTGTTGGTAACTGCCCTTCTTGCACTTCAGCCAAAGTCTAGAGGTTTAATTTCTGGAGAGTGAAACAAGATTGTTTCTTCTCTAGACTAGGGAACATCAGGGAATTCTAAAACAGTGGATACCATATGATAAAAGTATGAAGTAAATTATAAATTATAAAATATAAATTAAACGTTAACTACTAAGACCCTTTCCAACCCAGCCCTCTTTACTTCCCTAACTCCTAGTTGCTTTACCTACTAAGCAGGAAATTAGAAGAATTTTCTTCTGGGGAAATTTGACTAACTCTAGAGGAAAAACCTAGTGATACTAACACCAGGTTCCCAAACAAATCCTGATTACCCAACACTCAAAAGCAAATGAAAAGAACATTTGGACATGTTCAAAACTTAAAATCAGGTTTTTAGTTCCCCTACACTTAGTCATGAGCAGAAATCTAAGAAACACCAGATCTCTGAGAACATCTCTCATTAGGAATATAAAGACTCAAATAAAGAAATAGAGTTGAAAGAAACACTAATCTCACAAGATGAACTAAAAAACAAAAGACTTAAAAATAGTATCTTCAGAGGATTGAGAAGATATTACATACATGAAACCCAAACGCTTATTGAAAAAGAAAATTCAGAAAAATTTAAAACATGATAGCAAAAGTTAAAACTCAAGAGAAGGGTTAGAAGATAAAGGTGAGGAAACCTCCCAAAACAGAGGAGAGAGAAAGAAAAGAGAAAAACAGAGAACCAGACCAGGAAGCCCAATAGCCATGTAGTAAGGATTTCAGAGAGAAGAGGGAAAAATGGAGATGAGAAAATCACAAATGAAATAATTCAAGAAAACTTCAGAGAACTTAAAAATATAAGTTGTCATACTGAAAAAGCCCACCAAATGTCCAGAGACAATGGATATAAAGAATCCTATTCCAAGATATATCATTGTGAAATTTCAGACTTTTGGGGACAAAGATTCCAAACAATTTCAGAGAGAAAAACAAACAAAACATATCACAAATTAAAGGTCAGGAACTAGGATGACTTTAGTCTTTTCATCAGAACCCTATAGCAAGAAGGCAATATTCTAAAAGAAATTTATTTACAAGATAAGAAGTCTATCCATATTAGCAATCAAACATGAAGACAAAATGAAGACATTTCAGATACACATTTTCACATTTTTGCCTTCCACAAACCTTTCTGAGAACTTAAAGGAAGACTGGCTCCCCTAAAATGAGAGGCAACCAAAGAAGAAGAAAAGAGTTCAGAAAACTGACCTAGCACAAAAGAAAAGTGAAGAAAATCCCAGGAGAACAATGAAAGGACATCCCAGGAAGAAAGTTGTACAGTAGACACAGGGAAATCGGTCCAGATTAGAGTGATGTTATTCAAGAGACAGACATATTGAAACTGTCATCCTTGGACTTCATGCTGCCACTGTATCATCTTTTTAAACCCGAGGACAGAATGCCCTAGTGAAACTCGTCCCAGTTGTATCTGTACGTGGCTTGTGTTGACCATCTGTTGATGAAGTGTCTACTTTCCTCTCCATGTCCTCCTGTCTGGATTGGCTAAAGACACTCATTTCACCCACAGACATGTTCTGGCTTCAATCTACTCCTCAGAGTTGGAGGTAGGTCACAGTTTGCTTAAAAGCAGAAAATACTAAGACAGCTCACTCTCCCTGCCCACATTCCTAACGGATGTCCAGTACCTGGCTCATACCAAACTCTCTAACTCTGTGAGCTGAATATTTCACAGGACTCACTCACAACTATAGGTTCTGATTTCTTCTGAAAGGGCTCTTCTAAGCTTTCTCAATAATTTATAAGAAGCTGAAGCCAGAGACTCTGTTTAGCTTCTCCTCTCCTGAAAGCATTTTTCTATGAATGGTAATATAGCCCTTTCCTTATACAGCTATGCTTGTACTGGCTATTCACTTTCTTCTAAACTAAGTAACATTGTTATGGGGTACATACGTAAGTGGCAAAACTATAAAGAAAAGTAGGGGGATGATTAACACTGAAAGACAAGTAAGTGGTTACATGTGGGAAAACGTAGAAGACTACAGCTGGAAGGGGCACTCAGAGAGCTTCCAAGATCTGGCAATGTCCTATAACTTAATCTGAGAGGTGGGTACACAGGTATTTGTTTTACCATTGTTCTCTGAACTGTTTGTATGCATTCTATTCAGTCTTTTGTGTGTGTATTTCACCAAAAAAAGGATATTAACTGAAAAAAAGGAAATATAACAAGATCGAACATAAAGTATAATTATAAAGAAAAATTGGAATGCAATCTCAAAAAGTGAAGATTGTGTTGTTAGGGTGAATTACAGATTTTTTTCCTTTTATTTTTCCAAAACTGTCTCTGAAGTGTTTAATTATACTAAATTCATAATATTATTTTCAAAGAACAAAATAAGCTGTGGGGAAAATATATTTGACTTATTTACAACACGCAGGCCAGGTCTGTGGTTATGGTCTTTGGTGCTGTAGTCCCAGCACCCAGCACAGTGCCTGGAATATGAGAGGCGCTTGATAAATATTTCGTGTATCAGTGTCATTGTTAGATAGGACATGTATATGACTGCAGTTTGTCACCAGGTTCTTTAATGTTGCTCAAAAAGTACCATTCTTTCATTTACTTTATTTGATTTTTTAATTGTATTATTTATTTATTTAGTTTTTTTAGTACCATTCTTTTAAATGTTATACTAATGTTCATAATTTGTGATTGGTTAATGTTAATGATTTTAAATTTAAATATAAGAAATATGTATTTTTTAAGTTAACAATGCACAAATTTGGGGAAGCTATATTAAATTTGTTATTCACGTCAAGAGAGACTTCACCATCTGGATTACTATCACAGCACATTCTTTTCAAATGTTCTTATGCCTCATCAACCCCAACAATGTTCTTATGCCTTATAAACCTAAATCTACTAAGGAACAGCAAACATCATAATAACCAAATAAACTCCTAACATGGCTACTCATTTTAACCAATTTTACAATGAATAGTATTTTCTGAACCTCTAATATAAAAATATTTCTAGAAAAGAAATGATACCCAGCTGAAATATTGAGGTTAGATGAAAGATGAATGGTTAAATGGGTTTCTTTATCTACTCTTAAAACATCTGGTTCTTAGTAGATTATTAATTCAATCAATTTATTTAAAAATCCTCCTGTAATCACTCCAATTCTAAACATAGAAAGAAGTGTGTTTTTGATTTTGAAATGCCTCAAAGTGAATGTTAAAGGCAAAATGCTTTCTGTTTAAGTTACATTTTCAGGTGTGTAATTCATTGGAATCAAACAACCTTTTAATTTACACTTCACTACCTTTGCTGGCATCAAAAACCTCAATTTGAAATATACCTCCTGAAGTCAATTTTGAAATCCCACATTAATGCAATAGTGTCAGTAGTAATTCAAAGTATATAGTCCCACAGTACTAAATGTCTGACGTACATAGGTTTAGAAATTCCTTGGTTTTTTAAATCAGTGTCATGGATTGCTTAAATAAATTAAGGAACACTAATTACAGATAAACTGGGAATGAGGAAGACTGGCCTAAAACTAAAAATATAGCTCAGTGCTTCTTAAACTTTAATGTGTGTGTATGTGTGTGCGCATGTATACATAAACCACATGGGAGTCTTACGGAAATGTAGATTCTGGTTCTCTAACTTTGAGATTAGGGGCTGAGATTACACATTTCTAACAAGTTCTTAGGTGATAGAGATGTTACTGATCTTCCAACCACTTTTTTTTTCTTCTTTCAGTTTTAATGAGGCATAATTGACAAAAAATGTAAGACATTTAAAGTGTACTTGTAGTGATTTGATACACACATATATAGTGAAAGGACTCAAACCATCAAGTTAATTCAGACCACATTTCTAAAGTAGCAAGCCTGTAGACCAGGGGTTTGCAGACTATGGCCTTTAGGCCAAATCTGTATAAATAATGTTTTGTATTTGTATAAATAATGTTTTGTTGGAATACAAATTTTTGTATTTGTATAAATAATGTATAAATAATGTTTTGTTGGAATACATCCATGCCTATCCAACATATTATCTATGGCTGCTTTCATAATACAAAGGCTGGGTTAAGTAGTGTTGATCCTTAAACAATATGGGTTTGAATTGCAGGTCTACTTATATGTGGACTTTTTCCAATAAACATACAAAAAATATACACGTAGAACATCATGTGCAAGACTTGTATTGAAGTGGATAGTCTATCCTTACAAAGGGGCGAGGTGAGTGATATTTAGTATAAAATTAATAATATGTTAGTTTTCTTACTGTTTTATAACTTTGCTTTCAAAGAATTACATTACCAGAATTACATTACCGTACAGTATGCCTCTCTCATGTGAGAAACTGCAAATCATCACAGGTATGTCATTTTTTTAATATAATTATGTTTCCAATTTTATATTCTGAATATGATTATAATACTGTATGCCATAAAAGTTTTATAACTATTCATTAGTGTATGGGCTAGGCTACCATGAAGCCGATTACACTAGGCTATCATAAAGCAATCATGTTGCTGTTTCTTCATTATCAATGCACGAATCATTATGCCTGTAAATAAATAAGAATTTTTTTCACATTATCTTCTCATTTTTGATGTCAAGTGTTAGTAATACATATAACAGCTACAGTGTTTGTATTATATAAGACAATACTGAGGTAGGTACTGACAGACAGATGATTCATCTTGTAAGCAGACCATGTAAACATAAGGTATGTGTGGGGGGTTGGTGCCCCTAACCCTTACATTATTCAAGGGTCACCTGTAGTTCTAACAAAGACCTATGCCCACAGAGCTAAAAATATTTACTATCTGGTCCTTTACAGAAAATGTTTGCTGACCTCTGTTACAGGTAATATCAAAACGCACTACCCAACAAGGGAAGTAGGAGTAAAGTAGAAGTATCAATGATTTCCATGGTTTTGTGGGACTGTATCCTTTTCTTTAGGATTTCCAGTTCTGCATCCCATTGGGCCCCTTTTATTTTGTACAGAAACAAGAAGACTGTAGGTCTTTATGTGCCATGTGACTTAATGCTACACCAAAACACCATTACATTTTTTTATGAAAATAAGAAATGACCAAGAGACTAAGAAACCAATTCTTAAAGGTTAAAAAGCCCTGGCAACATTTAACACTTAATGGTATAGTCCTGACTTAATGACCTCCATAGACAGTTTATCCCATTACTTACTCTTGTTAAATCCATGCCCAGCTTGAGCTGTGACAAGAGATGGAGGATAACACTGCGTTGCTCTTCCACAGCTCCTAGGTCATCCTCCTTGTTGTCACAAGCGTCCTCCACCTCATCATCTGCATTTATTTCTTCAGGTTCCTTGATGTAACGCAAAGCAAGTCTACCATTAAACGCGCTTCTTAATATCCATTATTACACGCGCTTCTTAATATCCATTAAGAATAAAAGTATAAACATCAGACAAAGACATTTATATTGGGCTTAAATGAATCTGAGAACAGACACAAACCTTTCTGAAAATGTAACTGCCATCACTTGGCCATGGAACCGATTTACTTCAATGAACCCATTATCACTGACATTGAACATACTGTGGTTTTGCCATATATATCGCACATAAAGTCCACATATTTTATGAAAACAAAATTTTTCAGAAAGAGTGAAAAATGTCTCATCTGAATCTTAGGCTTTGCAGGCTTTGACCACCTACCTGGGGACTCTACCACTACCTATAATTTAAGTTCAAGGTGTTTTGAGAATTAAGTATTTGCCCTATGTTTAAGCTAAAACTATAAAGCTATAAAGGTAAAATTTAACAGTGACTGGACATGCCAAGTCTAACTTCTGTAATCTATATTTAGATATTCACTCATTCTTAGAGTTGTCAGAAAGAAACTGGGGTTGAAGAGACTTCTAGGTGCAGGTATGGAAACCTGGTAGTTGCTTATGCAGTCTTAATGCCACAAAAAGTTCTCTGCACAGTTCTTCAATCAATCAATAATACAACCCCTTGAAAAAATGTTTACTCTCATCTCCACAGGGTCTTAGCTCCAGATAACTGATTAAGAGAAACTTAATTTCTTATTTATTTCTATGTAAACAACAAACAACAGTTTCAAATCCCAAGATTCTATAACCTTATCAGATACCACTTTCATGTTTATGTGGGGATGGTGTCCCATCTCTCTCAGTGGTACCTCTTTGTGCAAGAGAGATTTATATGAGTATATTATCTTTGTTATTGTATTAAATTTTAAGTTATGAGGGTTTTAAAAGGAAATGATTTTGTTAATGTCTCTGCCTTTAATTTTCTCTTCCCATAACCAAATCCTATCAAATAAGAAGCCTGTCTGTTCTATATAGTAGCTAGGCAAAGAAAACCAACCCTAATCAGGCACAAAATCAAGAATTTAATGTTCTCAAAATATTAAAAGCAAAGTATAAAACATGGTGACAGAATTAAAGAATAATGGGTTTCTGGTCATTCTTTTGCCTCTGTTTTTCTCCTTTTTCCTGTTCCCTTCTACCAAGGAAATCTTTATCAGCTCACATTCTGATAAATAAATTAATGGTCTAGTTTATTTCTTCAAAGACCAAACACAACTATTGTTTGTGTATATCAGAATTGCTTCTGTTTTTATGACCTTGAGGAGAGATCCCAAAGGTAAGTTTCTCAATTCCTTTTCAAAGTCTAGTAAGTCGGTAGGAGGTATTTCCTGTTATCTACCCTAAATCAGTTGCACAATATAGTTTAAGTACACTTATGAGTGTTTACTCATCATAAAACAAGGGGAAAAACTGAATTATCCCCCCTCTCTATATATAAAAATCAAAAATAATAATTTTTCATTTGAGAAATGTTGAGGAAAAAAAACCTAATAGGTCCCGATTAAATGATGTTCTCCAACCTTCTGAAAGCTATCATTACATATGAGGTCAGAACCTAGGACACAGATTAATAATGCAAATATAGCCTTAATATTATTATATAATACAAAGTTTACTTTGTGGTTTCCTCTAATGAAAATAATATTAAACCAAAGAGATAAAACATAATCTGGTAGAAAAACTATTTAAAAGAATACAGTTTTTGTTGTTTCTATAAAAATATTCAAATCACTTATTCGAACAGGAAAAAAAAAAAGGAATTCTATTCACAATTAAATACTGATTATAAAGCCTGATGTGAATGGAAGAATTTGGAAGCTCTCTTTCCTTTTTGAAATGCTTCTCAGAGATCATCATGTCTTTTTTAAAGAAAAGCTTAAGGTTAAAAAAAAGCATTACCAAAATTCAAGTAAACATGCTCAAATGTACAAAACCCCTACAAACCCAGGATGGTTAGCAAATAAAGTTGCAAGAGCTGTTGAATTTCTGGGAATTCATACTATTTGGAGATTACATGGCAAGGGGAACCCCAATATTCCAAAAAACTCATACTAACTCCATTTTTTGTCCTCCTAACCCCTGACTTGGGCACTAAGGAATTGTGGGCTTCATTCTAACCTCATTGGGGTTTACCTCCTCTATCATCTAACAGTGAAATCTCCACTATTGCAATAAACATTTCCAGTTTGCATTAAAATTCGTATTCCAAAGAAAGCATATGTGAAATTTTCAAAAACAATTCAGGTCTTTTCTGGTATGCTTGAGTGGAGTATAAAGTCTTTAGTAATTGAAAAAAAATCTATGCACTTACTTTTCTTGTACTTGCACTAGGTGATATATTGGTCTACTCACCATTTCAAAAGATTTGGTAATTCACCAGTCCTCTCCTTCCCATCTCTGTGCCCCATCTCTAACATATGCCTCTATCCTGATTTCCAACATGCTTTATACTCTCATTCAGAAAAATGAAAATGTTATAGTATATGACCTACAGTTTATAATTTTTTACTTGTAAATTTTCTCTTGCACCAAAGCTTTGGTTTCATCATTTCCAATTGCTTTTCATATACATTAACAATCATATATCTTCTTCACATAAAATTCAACATGTTCATAAATCATACTAAATCTTTTCTCTCAAAAAGCTCTTTCTGGGGGGAGGGTATAGCTCAGTGGTACAGCACTTGCTTAGCCTGCACAAGGTCCTGGGTTCAATCCCCAGTACCTCCATTAAATAAAAATAAACCTGATTACCTTCCCCCTCAAAACAAACAAACAAACAAAAGCTCCTTCTTCCTAATTTTGCTAGCTTTGTGAATGGCACCACAATTTTAATCATTTAGGCTCAAAAACTTGGAGTTATCTTTGATCCAACCCTGTATCAAGTCAATCACAAGTTCAACTGATTTTTCACTTGAAATGTACAGTATTTATTCATTTGCCTTTATTGCTACTTCCATAGCCTTCTATACACACTTTAATTCCAAGTTGTACCAGATACTGACCTTTTTAAACATATCACATCCCTCTCCAAGCTCAAGACCTCATTACCTATCACAGTAGGACTAAATTTTTCTATATGAGTTTTATCTTCCTCAGGGACACAATTTACACTGTATTCCGTGGAGCACTGCTCCACGGATTATTATTTCACAGCATAAATGGTCATCTGGATTTGTAAAATCCAACAACCCTGGGATCATTTTCCATAAACCAGGAGCTCTGCTGAATTTATTTTATCTTCATAACAATCTTAAAAGGTACTATTACCCTTGTCTTACAGATGAGGAAGCTAAGAGTGGTTAATCAATTGGTTCACGTTAGTAAATGACAGGACCTGAGTTCAAAATCATTAGGCAAGCCTTCTCCACAGAAAATAAGTATACATGCCTCAGTATCCCTGCTTGTGTTACTCCTCCATCTTGAGAGTCCCTTACTACTATTCTTCTCTTCAAATCTTACCTCCTTTCAAAGCCCAATTTCAATTCCACTTTCTCTCCCAAGCTTTCCTCATCCTCTCTACTCAATGTATCTCTCTCTCTTCCTTCCCTTAATGCCCATAACCCAAGAGCCTAAACAATAGCAATTAAGATGAAAAAATAAATACAGCTTCATATTATCATCTCATGGTCTTGGTGTATATGTGCTGTGACTCTAAATAGATTTTAAGTCTCTTCAGTTAAAGAACTGTCTTCTATTTTTGTATGCCCTCTAATTCTTAACACTGGACTTGTCAAATACTAGACAGCTTAATAAATATTTACTAACTGCTTGACTCCACAAATGAATTAGTCAGAAAGCTATAGACAATAAGGATTTCATACTTCTTCTTTCTTTCCCCTGCCCACCCTGCTGCCATTGCCTGCCTCATTGAGTCAAACCCCTGCCAGTTTGGAAGTCCCTATGTCATATGTTTCTTTAAAGAACTAATTTGCAAATATATAAACAACCATAAACTATGCATTACTCTTGACTCAGTAATTCTACTTGGGAATATAACCTAAAGAAATAAGGGGAGGAAAAAAAAAACCAGACAAGATGATATAGGATTATTTATAAGGACAAAAAATAACAAAAACCCTAGACATTCAATAGCCTACTTCAAGCTTTTAAAACTTTAATTATATAGGCCTTGAAAGTATCAAATGAAAAGAGCTTAAACAAAACTATCTATGTAATTATGATAACCATAAAAGTAACAGATGTGAACTCAAAAGGCAAAACACCCAATATGATTTGTTACAGCAGTGAAACTATGAATAGAAGAAAATACTCTTCAGCTTCAGAGAAATGTGGAATGAATAATACTTTAAAAATATTAAACCCTAAACTGTGTGCCATTTAAGTAGAATAAATTTTTAAAAATTGATTTGGTAAAGTACTTACTATCAGAAAAACTAATAGTAAACTCTTAAACTTGTAAATTTAATATGAAACACCTAGTAAATAATGTTAAATTAAGAAATGTAAGAGATAAATATCATGCAAATAATCTTCGATTAGAAAAGCTATTTTCCAGAAAAAGAAAAACATGTAAATTTCAATTTTTAAATACATTTATATCAAGCAAGGGTAAACCAAAACTAAAAAGGGCACATAATTTAACCTGGAAGACAGAAGATGTACAAATTTTATACAGCAGACCCCTTCCAAAGCCAATGCATTTTAAGGTAGAACAACGTCTAGAGTCTGCTCTTGTTACATGGACTTGCATGTCCTGACAATGAAAAGAGAACTGATACTTTTCAATGATTACTAATTTTTACATCAAACCCTTATTTTTACATTACCTTACCCTTGCTAATAGTCCAGATTCTGCAACACACTGCTCCTCTGGGACTGCCACTGGCTTACTCTGCTCAGTTGCAAAGGGCTGGTCAGCTCCATTTTTATAGTGGTTTGATAAAGGTATCTTTGGTTCTAACCACTCGATTGTCGTTCCTGATGAAGTAAGAGAAAACTTTTGCTGAAACTTGCTCATAATCTGGAAAGTTCAGCAGATGTGGATTTTATTTAACAATTTTCCTTTGAGCCTATAAGACTAAAAGCAATTCAGCCTGTTAAGAGACTCTGCAAGACAGTGACTTGTATCTCATTAGCATGAGCATCATGATTGGGTATTTTACTACAGAGTAACTCATAACTTGAAATCAGATACCATTTAAATGAATCAACCCTGAACAGTACTGAACTCACTTCTTGGGCAAATCTGTGAATCAGAAAGTATATTCCCAGCCTAATAGTTGATTTGCTGTCTTTTCTGCATGAACCATGTCCCTCAAGAGATAAAAAGTATACCATTAGGCTGAAGAGAGTCACAATTACAGGAGGAGGCTGCGATTGTGAAACAGTAAAATTTGCTTCAGTTTGGGATTGAACCTTTTTCTCAGTAGCAGCTTTCTAACCAATCAAGATAATTTTCTCGATCTAATTTAAGAATTGCAAATGCATGTCCATTTTTTTTCCAGTCATATGAAAAAGCTCCATATATTTTTAAACTCAAAGGCTCTTCTACTGAATAAATAATAGCTGACCTAGTAAATGACCGTGGTCTCATTTAGAGACCTGTCATCTTCTCAGTTAATGACTCAATGTCTCTTGTTACCCTCAACTAGTTTAACAAAGTGGATTCTATGCCTAATCAATAATGGAAGATGTTCCATTTGATTTCAGAGGCTGATTTAGGTTGCAGAGAAGCTTGATTATAGAATGCTACATTAAGGGATGCTCAGACTACTACAGCAGAAATTAAAAGGCGTATGAAATTTACTTAGTCTATAATAAAATCCCAGACTTCAGTAGAGAAATAAATTACAAAGTACTTATCAGGCTACCAGGCAGTTTGCCTTGCTACTTAGTTAACTTTCACTTGGCACTGGGGGGATACACAGTCGTGGTAATGACCTAGATAAATGAATGGAACCTGTTGCAAAATTCCAAAGAAATGAAACCACTTTGCACCTACCTTGAAATGTTTATTTTTAACATTTAAAATGCATTTAAAATGTACACAAACACCAAAGTTTAAAAGATGTATTTTAGGAGGTCACTCAACTGACTGGAAACCATACCAAAATTCTTTATCATACCAATCATTTGGTCTTGGGATCCCTCTAAAGCAATAATCACTACTGTGTCTCTGTATAACATACATTAAGACCTCATGGGACTAAACACTAATTTTTATTTAAATTTCACTTCTCCGATCATCTCAAAATTTGAGTGGGAAGGTAATTCAGTTTTTTCATAATTATATTTTCATTCTCAAGTGACTTAAGAATAAATTTCTACAGACCTAATTTGGAAAACATGGCAATTTGTGAGAAACAGCAATATTACTGAATTAATTCCCTCAAATACTCACAAGTCTGTGCTCTAAAAGACAGTGATAAGAGAGAACATCTTTTACTTTAAACAATTCTGTAAAGTTTACAATGTGTTTCATTTTAATTTAAAGAATACAAATTTATATTGTACCTACTTCATTAATCATGAAGCAATCATTTAAAAATATGGCTATAAAACTATAATAATGAAATTCTAAGAATTTAAAAAATTACACAGTATTTAATTAATCAAATAATTTTTTGAATTGAAGTATATTTGATTTACAATATTATATTAGTTTCAGGAGTACAGCATAGTGATTCAGGATTTTTATAGATCATACTACACTCAAAGTTATTATAAGATAATGGCTATAATTCCCTGTGCTATACAATATGTCCTGTTGCTTACCTATTTACAAACATAGATTTTCAAACAACAGTGAGGTAAAATAAAAACTAAGAAAAAAAGAAAAGCCTGGTTGGGCATGTACTAATATATTAACAGGGGCAATTTCTGCTTGGTAGGATAATGTACAATTTTTTTCAATTGAATGGTAATTTCTAAATTTTTTATGAGTATGTTGCTTTAAAATAGGAGAAATGTATATTGGACTACTTACAATTCCTCTGAAGCACCAGTCCATGTTCACAACTCACAATTTAGGCTCTTCCATCTCTCTGGAATGCCCTTTCCCCTGCCTCCCACCCTTAAACTAACTGGTTTTCCTAGCTCTTCTGTGTCCTTCCCATACTTTCCTATCAGAAGTATTAGTCCATTCATATATTCTCCCACAGTACTTTGTTCCCATGTAAATGATCTTTACATATTAATTATAGTTAACTATTTACATGTTTCTTACCCAAGTGGACTATGAGTTCCTTAAAAGCAACACAAATAACTTACTGGCCTCTGTAATACTGCCCTGATCTATATCTACAATTGCCATTAGCTTGTTACTGTTAGCTTGAAATACTGAATTTAGGCCCACACAGGATGGGATTCATACCACATCCGTATCAAGATCTGACTGTAGTTAACTTTTTCCTGAGCAAAATCTCAATTTCTTTCTAAAATACCTTTCTTTCACAAGTAAGGGGAAAAAAAAAAAAACAAGCAAGGGGAGTTAGCTGGATAAGAGAACAAAGAATGCTGGGAAATACTGAGTCACTACTATTAATACAATGTGATGCGGTTGAGGGGTTTGGGGAGATGTTGTTAAAGGGTACAAACTTGCAACCAGAAGATGAATAAGTCCCAGAGATCAAATGTACAACATAGTGAATACAGTCACCAATAATGTATTAAATATTCCAAAGTTGCTAAGAGACTAGATCCTAAATGCTCTCACTACAAAAAGTATGACAGTTATGTGATATGACGGAGGTATCAGCTAACATTTTGGTGGTAATCATATCACAATATATAAATGTATCAAATCAACACAGTGTATACCTTAAACTTATACAATGTTATATGTTTATTACATCTCAATTTTAAAAATGATGAGTTTATTCATCTTATTTAATTGGAAAACTCATCTTTTGTTACCCCATGCAATAACATTCTTTGCCTCAGTAAATTAAGTTCAACAAATTAAGTGTTCTCAAATACTAGATGCATGTCTTATTTTTCAAACTGAAAGGTGACTGACAGACTTTAATATATATTTCTCCATCCAGAAATAATGATTAGTGGACTAAGCCAAAACTCAAGGAATGATTCTAACATTTCTACTTTGATAGATGGAGAAATAGTGATGCCATCAACTTTAATAAAAATATAGAAGATGTGAGCTTTGAGTTCATTTTCTGACATGGTGAGTCTGAGGCTTCTAAAGGGATATTTAAATTATATAAGACTAAAAATCATTTTACATTTGAAAATGGACATAATAAAAAAGACTTTATACAACATTAGTGTGATAATTAAAAATCAAGAGGCTTGCTGGTTTTCTATTTGCTTTGTTTTGTTTTAATTAAGATTTTCTGGAGTAGAATTACAAAGAATGCAGTTAGCCCTTTCCATTGGCGTGCAGTGCTAAGTCTTACCTTTAAGCAATAACTTACCTGAAGGCAATGAGCCTTTCTGATGTGATGCATGCTGCAACTGGAGAATATGAAAGCAGTCATTTAAGCAGTTCATAGTTGCCATGGAAGTAGCCTTGAGCATTAAGAGATCCTGGTCCAAGGAACTAAGGTGGCCAGAAGCAGGAAGGCATTCAATTCGTCTAATTAAGTCTCTTTGTTGTCCTTCAGCATGAGACATCATCTAAGGAAAACAACAGTTCTGTGTGTCCCACTCAAAATTTCTTGCCATATATACATATATACATGTATACATACACATTTTAATTACCATATTCTGTATAACAAGTATACATACATAGTTGCCATTTTTAGGACAGATTAGGCTTAGAAATCTATTTTAAGTTTGGCTATTCTCAATTAATAAGCATTTAATAATGCTTCTCAATTGAGCAAAAGATGGTAATCTTTAGCAGATGTGCTTTTTCTTTGGCAGCAACGAAGATCAAGACTTGCCACCTTTTATTAACAGCATAAATTTATACAAGTCATCAGAAAGAACATTCCAGATCACCTTTAACAGTAGCATTAAATATTTCACTCCAAAGTAAAATTAATTCCCAGCCTGGGCTCTCAACCATTTTTACACAGCATCTCTGGAGAGGCCCAATTTGAACCTACAGTGAGTCTACATGCTTCTGTTTGCTAATCTTTCTGGTTCCGTTAGGTTGATTTTGGAGCAAATACTGGATGTAAGTTTTTCAGGTTAAAAGAGTTCAATACGCTTTTTGATTAGGAGGTTTATCTATAATAGAGTCAATGGAATAACAATGATGAGGAGCAATCAATTTTTTAAAATGAAAACTGAATTTATCGTGCTTAATTACTTTCAATTGTGAGCAGAAGGGTCTCATCTCAGATTGCCTATCCTTTGAACATTATTTTAATTCACATAGACTCTTTAGTGGAGAGACATTTTTAGCTTTCAAAGGCTCTGCTCCAGACAAATTTTCATACAGTTCATCCGAGGGCTAGTGAAAAAAGAGATGCAAAATGATCCTATCAAGCAAACGAAGTGTGTCATATATGAAACAGCCCCTGAAAAATACATCCTGGTACTGGATCAAACACTACAAGAGTGGTTAAATGAAAACTGTCGGTATAAAGGTATCTACACAAATCTTCCTCCATTTACAATGGTGTTACACCCTGATAAATCCATCATAAGTTAAAAATATCACAAGTTGAAAATATCAGAAGTCAAAAATACATTTAATACACTTAACATACTGTACATCATAGCTTTGCCTAGTCTACATTAAGTGTGCTCAGAACTTTTACATTAGCCTACAGCTGCACAAAATCATCTAACACAAAGCCTGTTTTATAATACAGTACTCAATATTTCATGTTATTTTTTCTACTGCACTGAAAGTGAAAAACAGAATGGTTATACAGATACAGGATGGTTGTAAAGGTGCTAGTTGTTTACCCTCATGATCACGTGGCTGACTGAGAGCTGGGGCTTGCTGCCAGCATCAGGAGAAAGTACTGTACTACATATCACTAACCCAGGAAAAGATCAAAATTTAAAATTCAAAGGACAGTTTCTACCGAATGTGTATCACTTTTGCACCACTGTAAAGTCAAAATATCATAAGTCAAACCATTGTAAGTTGGGGACTGTTTGTGTATATGTAAATGTTTTTATATATAAATGTCAGGACTAATTCCCAATAATCTAAAATTATGAATAAGTACAACTACTTTGGAAAACAGTTTGGCAATATCTACTAGAGTTAAATATATAGAGCTAAATAAACATAATCCATGACCCAACAATTGTATTCTTAGATACATAGCCAACAGATATGTATATATGTTCATCAACTCAAATGTCTACCAACCCTGGAATGAATAAAAAATATTAAGGTATGTCCATATAATAAATACTGTGAAGCAACAAAGGAACTGCTACATTCAATATCACAAGTAAATCTACAACATATGTTGACTAAAAAGAAGCCATACCTAAAGGAGCACATACTATTTGATTCCAGTTTTAGAAATTTCAAAAGTAGACAAAATAAATCTACGGTATTAGAAGTCAGGATAGTGAGGAGAGTGTAGTGATGGAGAGGCATGAGAGGGTCTTCTAGGGTGCTGGAAATACTTAATTTTTTAATCCAGGAGGTGGTTATGGAACATTCAAGGATGTGCTGACTTTACAAACAAAAGTAACAGAGTGGAGGAGGTATGGCCTTTAGGGCTTGTCTAATAATCAGCAGTAAGTACACTGAGGCAGGGTTGTTAACAACTGACTTGAGCTGGTTAGGCTCTGTGTTAACGTTCTAAGAGCTTCAATCTAGAGCCAGAGTTTGTTCTTCACTTTCTTTCTTGAACTTGGAGAGTACAACTTCTAATTCTCATCATAAGAAAAACCAGTTGAAAAATTGAACTTTTAAATTAAAAACACTTGCTCACTAGACTACACTATTCAGAGAGCACAGAAGGGGAAAAAAGATGTACACTTATGTATACTTTTTAATATTATGTTATAAAGCAATAAAAGTTTAATAAAGGAAAAAATCATAAATAGGACACTCACAACATAATCAGCTATCACTTAAGAGGGAATATAATATAATACTTAAGAGGGAAAAAAAAAGTGTTTCTTTGTGTAAATGGCCCAAAAAAACCACCTGCTAATGCTGATGTTAGAAGTGAAGAGGCCTAAGAAAGTGATATTCTTGGTTAGAACAAAAAGCTTTTTAATTATAGCACAATGTTAAAATTTGGTTATGGTTCTTTTTATTTCAGTTTTGTTTTATTAGGTAATTGACACAATTTGACTGCATATATATAATATATTACATGTAAATACATATATACAATATACTGCACATATTTTTTAATTTACATATATGTACTGTTCATTGTTTCTAAGAACAGTTTAGAGCTTTAGCTTTTTAAACTTACATAGTTATCAAAGGAATAAAGCCAACTACAAAGTAAGAATCAAGAGGATGCAGTAATCCAATCATAAACGTCAGTCAAATGTGCTTACACATATTCAAGAAATCAGTCTTCTAAGTTATCAGTAGTTCATTTATGTCCTTTTTTTTTGATTTCACAGATGAGTGATATCATATGGCATTTTTCTTTCTCTTTCTGGCTGGTTACAGTTCTTTGCAAAGCAAACAAAAGAGTTGTTCATATATTGACAATGAAATAGAACTGATTTGTGAAGCTGTTTTAGTGATTATTCCTAACATTATAAAAATCAGTTCCTCAAAAAAGAAAAAATGCCAGGAAAGCTGAAAACTTGCTTAATCTGTGTTTTGGAGCTAAACATGGTAAACATGGTGAGAGTGTGCATTGCTTAAGTGGCATCTAGGCTGTATGAAAACCAGATTAGAAACATGATTTTATCACTTGTATTTTAATGTCTCCTTTTACTAGACTGGTCATGTTAGCTCCTCCCAGGGCAAGCAAAGTACCAGCATGAAGTGATTAATAGAGTAATTTGAGAAATTATACTAATAATAAACAGTAAATACTAAAGCAGATCACTTTAACACTTTAGTAATAAATCCACATTCAAGCACAGTATGACTCTATTCTCAATAGTCAGGTGCTTTTGCCAACTGTTATTTCTTCTACTACTGGACTTATTTATAGACTTTGATTAAAATATTTCTTTCAAACTCACTTTGAATTATATCTTTACATTACAGCTTCCTAGAACTGGATCACTCTAGAACCTAGAGCTGAATCACTCTAGAATAGCAATTCTCAAACAGTACTCTGCAGATCCTTGTGGGAACCTATGGAGTCAAAACTATTCTTACAATAATTCTAGGAAATTATTTGCCTATGAATAAAAAATTATTTCACTGTGGTGACATTTGCCTTGATGGTTCAAAAGCAATGGTGGGTAAAGCCACTGGCATCTTAGTGAGAATCAAGGCAGTGTCATCATTGCCATGCATGGATAGATCTGGGGCGGTGGGGGCAGGGGGTGGAGCCAGTTCTACTTAAAAATGTCCTTGAAAAATCAGTAAAAATCATTCATTTTACTATATCTTGACTTCTGAGTATGTCTTTTTTAAATAGCCTATGTGAAAAATGAGAAGTACACTTCTGCTGCACACCAGAAAAAATGTACTTCTGTTGCATACCAAAGTACAGTGGTTGCCCAAGGAAAAGCACTTGTGTCACTGAGCTGCAAGTTGAACTAGCTGTGTTTTTCACAGATCACCATTCTGACAGGAAAGGAGATATATACATATATATAGATATAGATAGATAGATAGATAGATAGATAGATAGATAGATAGATAGATAGATATTTGTATGTGTATATGTATATATATGAGCACACACGTGTGTGTGTGTGTGTGTGTGTGTATGTATTTTGTCTCTGCCTCCCACCTCTTCCTGGCACACAGCTCTTAAAACCTTTGTAATTTCCTAAGTGATCAGAGCTGGGGGGTCTTTTGTTATGATATTTGGTTTCTTGTAATAGCTTCAGGGCATAAAGTTGAAATATGTCCTTTGTTATTCTTAACAAACCCCTTTCAACCACAGTACAGTTTATGTGAAAGAAGTGATTTTTGCAGAGTCCCTAGATAAGGGCTTACTGCCAAGGGTACCAACCCTGTAGATTAAAGGATTAGAACTTTCAGCCCCACCCACCAACCTCTAGGGAGGAGAGAGGAACTGGAGGTTAAATTAATCACCAATGGCCAATGATTTAGTCAGCCATGCCTAAGTAATGAAGCCTCCACAAAAAACCATAGGAGAAAGTTCAGAGCTTCTGATTGTGAACACGTGGAGGTGCTGGGAGGGTGTGCAAACAGAAAGGGCATGGAAGCCCTGCATTCTTTCCCCCAAATCTTGTCCTGTGCATCTCCTCCTCTAGCTGTTCCTGAATTATAGTCCTTTACAACACACAGGTATTGCAGTAAATACTGTTTTCCCAAGTTCTGTGAGTTGTCCTAGCAAATGTCTCAACCTGAAGAAGGGGTAATGGAAACCTCCCATTTATAGCTGGTTGGTCAGAAGCACAGATGACAACCTGGACTTGCAAATAGCATCTGAAGTGTGGGCAGCTTTGTGGAATCTGACACTACCTCAGATAAACAGAAACCCCCACACATTTGGTGACCAGAGTACAGAAGCATAGGATGTTGTAGTAGAATAGAGGAGAAGCACAGGAGGGTTTCCCCTTGATAGAATTAC